TGGTGTCTTGGCTGCAGGAGAAGCCAGCACTGCCGCTCTGGAGAAAGGTTTGCTACGCTGTTGGGGGCATTCCCTACCAGATGACAGGCAACGTCCTTGGGTTTTTCCTCCAAATCTTCCTCCTGGATGTTGTGCAGGTGAGTGGCCACGTGAGATGGGGTTATCTGCAAAGGGGCTTTAGCGTAAGCGCAGCAGACTGGGGCAAGGGTTGAGTTTGGTGGGTGGCCAATGCCCTTGGAAATGCTCGTCAGAACTAGACATTCAAACTGGATCAAAATCGTATGAGGGTGGGTGTGCAGGAGATGTTTCTGGGCCATTTCAACGCTCGGAGTGGCCTCCAGGGGATGCAGATGAAACGTTGGCTGAAGCGAGCAGCATCGTGCTGACTGCTCGCGGCTTTTCGCCAGGACTTCTTTCTCTTTCGAGCTGTGGTTTCTGTTTCCCCCCAGCTGGAGCCATTCCATGCCTCTCTGATCATTTTCCTTGGGAAAGCCTGGGATGCGGTTACTGACCCTGCTATTGGCTTCCTGGTCAGCAAAAGCCCAAGGAGAAAATATGGCAAGCTGGTCCCATGGTGAGTGTCCAGGCTGGAGCCTCAGGAGGGACTTTGCTGGGCTCAAATTCCTTGAGCGCCCGCACAGGGAGGCAGCTGGGACACCTCACTGGGATTTTAATATGACTGTGGCTTACGGAGGTTTACAAAACCTTAACATCACAAGGACCCTGAAGATAACATAACTTGCAGTGGGGTCCATATGTCATTGCGATGAAAGGGGTCTGGTAGCCAGCTGTGCCAGCAGCTCTCCAGGAGCAGATCTGGCACGTAAGAGGGTTACTGCTGCCCCCCAAGGTTCTGCTGCAGGGCAAGGACTTGAGGTAGTTAAGCGAGAGAATAAGCAGTGTTGGACAGCTTAGACATTACTTTTTCTCTCAATGTTTGGTTTAGCGCCCGCCCCCAAGCCTGACTGACCGACGCTCACTTCAGCAAAGCTGCTTCCTCTCACAGCTCTTGACGGCGCAGTAGCTGGGCTGTGGTTTGGAAGCCGGGGAAGAGGCTGTGCTACGTCGCTCAGCTTGTGCAAAGCGAAGTGTGACCACCTTATCTGAGGGCAGGATCTGACCAGCTCTGCTTCCTCCCCAGGATCGCATCCTCCATGCCATTCGGGGTGCTCTGCTACTGCATGATGTGGTCCACCCTCTCGGATGCCACCCCTGCCTCCCTGAAATTCCTGTGGTACCTGTTCATGTACAGCTTCTTCCAGACTTGCATGACTGTAAGGAACATGGTGCCTGGGGCTGACTGTCTTACACGCCATCCTATACTGCAAGGGACGGGGCACGGTCAGCTGGAGAGTCCCAGCCCCAGGCTCTCCAGGAAGGGCCCTGGAGCGGAGCCCAGGAGAGCTCCAGGGGGGAGCAGTGAGGGATGCAGGCTGGCGCAGGCCAACCCTGCAGGGATGCTGAGGCGGAGCCGTGCCTTTTAATGCTGGGCATTTGGCCGGGCTGCCTGTGTTCGGTGATGTGAACTTCTCCATCACTGGTCTGTGGGAACAGAGCACATCACAGAAGAGGAGGTGAAAAAACCAGCTGCATGCAGGGGTGATGCAGAAGGCAGCATCATCTGCTGTGTGTAGGGATGAGGGGGGTCATGATCAGCAAACCAGGGAGGCAGCAGCCGGAGCTGTGTTTGAAGTGTGCTCTCCCTAGTGCCACCATGTGCCGTACTCTTCCCTGACGATGTTCCTGGGAGGAACCCAGAGAGACCGTGACTCAGCCACTGCCTACAGTAAGTGTCTGTGCCCCTACTGCCTGCATTCCTGGGAGATCCTCCCTGGAGGAGAGGCGAGTAAGTTCTCGCCTGGGCTGCAGAGTGGATGGGGTAAACCAGGGATGTGAAAACAGTCAACTTCTGCAAAGAATTTACCTGCAGAAACATTTCTTAGATCTGTATCATCCCTAGGGAACTTGGCACCCAGATTTATCGGTTCCAAACATTAGCGCATTTACTGCTGGAGCCAAGGGAAAAAATCAGAGCAGGTAGAAATAGCAGGTCTCTTCTTCTGGGGCAGCTCTGGATGTTGGTACCTCCAATTCCATTCCCAAAGCTGGTCTCTTACCCTGAGGGATGTGTCCCATCAGCCAGGCAGTGGGACTGAGGTTTCTCTCCTGGTCGTCCTGGCAGGAATGGGGTTAGAGGTGTTCGGCACGCTCCTTGGATCAGGAATCCAGGGGCAGATTGTGGGCAGCTACCATGCCCACATGAGGAACGGCTGTTACATGTCGAACGAGACCGTGCCCAACACCAGCACCTACAGCCTCACGGACTCTCTGGAGAACACGGTAAGGGCCGGCCTGGCTGCCCCTCTGCTCCTCCCGTAAGCTCTGGGGCCGGCACCAGCTCTGTGCCTGGCACCAGCGCTCTCACTGGGCACTCTCTCTCATTTTCCAGCGTAGAGCCTATCTATTTGCATCCCTGGTCCTGGGCTCCATCTATTGCCTGTCCTGTCTGATTCTCATCTTTGGAGTCAGGGAACAGCCTGGTAAGGTCCACTTAGATGCAGTTTGGAGGGCGCCCAACAGCAGTAGATGATGAGGATGGTGTTGCAGAGGAAGGTGTGAGGCAGAGGGAGCTGGGCACCTGTGTGAGGGCCGGTTCTCTGGGTGTGGGGCTCAGAAACACAACACATACTTGGATGCTGAGACCCTCCTCAGTTTGTGCTGGCAGCATCTCGCTCTCGCAGAGGAGAGGGGAGGTGGTCCGGAGGGAGGAAGGCTCCGGCTGCCTGGGAGCTCCTTGCAGGGAACCGTCGGGCTGGGGCAGGGTCTCCAGCTCACTGCTTCGCCCTGAGCAGATCTCCCCAACGCACAGCCTGCAGAGCTACGCAGGCCAGCCCTTGTGTGCAGCGTAAAGAGGCAAAATCCTGCCCGGAGCTGACACCACGGCTGTTGTCACTGCACCGAGACATCAGACCCCGATAGCTCCTCACCCAGCTGAGCTGCACCCCAGACGCAGCGGTGCAATCCCCCCGTGCCTCCCACCCCGTCGCGTTTTTTCTGGCAGCTCCAGTGCCAGCCCTGCTGTCTCTCCTCGCAGGGCCCCTCAGCCCCCTGGGGAAGGTTGAGCTGCCCTTTGCCAGCTGCCTGAGGATGATCGTGGGACACAAGCCCTACACCCAGCTGCTGTGTGCCTTCCTCTTTGCGTCCCTGGCCTTCCAGGTGTGAGACCTGCCATGGCAGGAGGAGAATTTGGGGGATGAGATGTCCGGGTAAGTTATTCTGACAATGCACTCAGGAGCCCCAGCCGTCAACGTCTCCATGTTGCTTTCCCAGATCACACAGGGGATCTTTGCCTTCTTCTGTACTCATGCCGTGGGGCTGGCCGGGAAATTCCAGCATTTAGTGCTTATCATGTTGGTAAGTGAGCCCCAGGCCGACCTTCCCGGTGGGGGGGTTGATCCCTGGGTCACCCCGGCCCCCCAGCATGGGCAGCTCAGCCTCGCGGAATCACGTGCTGCTGTTTCTGCCCATCAGCAAGGACGTCACCCAGACAGGGACTGGCAGTCCGGGGGGGGCATTGCTGAGATTTCCCTTTGGTTCTCTCCTCAGGTCACGGCTTCCCTCTCTATTCCCTTTTGGCAGTGGTTTTTGGGGAGATTTGGAAAGAAAACAGCAGCCTCAGTGGGCCTGTCGGTGAGTTTGGTGGTGGTTGTGGCTGTGGACTGAGAAGCCCTGTGAGGGGACAGCCTTGTCCCCAGCTGCTCGTGGTGTCCAGGCAGAAGAGCTGGCTGGTGGCTCGGGGTGGCCCTGAGCACGGTGTCCTCTGCACTGCAGGTGACTAGGAGTTAAACCAGTAGTCGATGGCAGCTCTGCAATTCCTTGTGTCTGGCCACTGCTGGTATCGGTGGCCATGGCTTTGCAGAGCTTTGCGTTAAGGTGCAGGGAGGCTGAGGGACCAACCCTGGGACAGTGGGGAAATGATTTTTTGCAGCATCACTTGAGGGACCGACCCTGGGACAGTGGGGAAGTGATTTTTTGCAGCATCACCCAACCAAGAGCTCGGGCTCTGAGACTCCACGGCTGCAGATCTGGTCAGCAGCGTGTGATCAGATGCTGTACCAGTCTCATGAGCACATGCAGACATCGTCCTGTGTCCACTGTCCTGTTCCAGGATCTTGCATGCCCGGTGCAAGGGATCTGAGTTCTGCCAGCCAGCTCCATGAGAGGCACGGGGAGGGAAGGGCGGGCTGTGCACCACGCTTGGCAGTGGCTGGGGAACAGCCTGCTCATCAGACACACGTCCAGCCGCTGCCTAGCTCTGCAGGTCAGCAAGCAAATCCCAGTTGGCTTCTTTGCAGAATTAGGTCCTCAAATCCCATTGAGGATCCATCTCCAGATGCCTTCCTCGCAGCCATTGGGTGCAGCCATAGCAGATCCAGTGTTCCAGTTTAACCGCTTGGCTCCATGACCCTCCATAACCATCCCTTCTTTATCCATGAGGAAGGCTTTGCTGCCAGTGTCAGCCTGTCCAGGGCCTCCGTGCTGCACTGCACAGGGGACGGGGAGCACGACCTTTGGCTGGGCAGATGGGTGCAAGCTGCCTGTGAGCAGCAGAAAGGGCCCATGTGCTTTTGTTTTTTCTTCTTTTCCTCTCGCTGAGCAGCTGATGATCCCAGCCCTGGTAGCTGTCACCCAGGTGATGCACAACTTCCTGGCCTTCGTCTTCCTGGTGATCATGGCAGGCTGCAGCATGGCCGTGCTCTACCTTTTACCGTGGTGAGCAGAGGCATCTCTGAGCCACTTGTCAGGCGGAGAGGAGGGGAAGGTTATCGGGAAAACACCACCCGTGACGTGCCACGGCTGCCCGTTTGCTCAATACAGCAGCTTTGGAGCTGCAGAGGGACATGTGGAGGTGGGACTGGGAAGGGACGTGGATGTGGTCCACAGTCCCCCAGCAGCATCGTTCAGTCTGTGTCCGGGTTCCACAGCAGGACACCACTCAATTGTGCAAGGCGCTGTTTTAATTCTCTTATTCTGAAGCAGCTGCCGCACCCTCTCTGTAAGACACTCTCTGCCCTGTTTGCCCAAGGCAGAGGGCAGGCACAAAATGGGGTTCTGCTGCTTGGAGAGCCCTGGGAGCGGCTACAGCTGAGTTGAGCTGGCATTGGCGTGGGTATCGCCGACACGTCTGCGGGGCTGTCTGTCTCCAGGTCCATGCTGCCAGATGCGGTGGATGACTTCATGCTGAGGAACCCCACCTGCCTCAACCTGGAGGCTCTCTTCTACTCGTTTTACGTCTTCTTCAACAAGTTTGCAGGTGGCCTTGCCGTGGGGATATCGACGCTGAGTTTACAGTAAGCCCCAAACACTACCTCCCCTATTTTGTCAGCCCAGCACAGGCACTTCCCAATGCTCTTTTCTAGAGTGTTGATAGGAGATGCTGGAGTGAGGTGCAGGAGTATCCAAATTTGTCTTTCCAACATCTACTGGGAGCAAGAGGAGCAGAAAGGAGTGGGAATTCCCCAAAACTGGGCCTCCGATACCAGGCTCTAGAGGAGACTGATGGAGGTGCCTGCTTGCCTTTCTGCGGTGGGCCGGTGAGGCTGGGGGAAGGCAAACCGTTCTCCTCTTTAGTTTTGCAGGTTACCACGCTGAGGACTGCACGTACAACCCCTCCATCACCCTCGCCCTGCAGCTTCTCATGGCCCCGGTCCCAATAAGCCTGCTGCTCATTGCCATAATCATCTTCTGCCTCCATCCCATCAATGAGGAGAGGAGGAAGAAGATGAGAACAGAGATGGAGGCGATGGGGTAAATTTGAGCTCCCTGAAGGGGCCGGGTCACCTGGCATTAGTCTGGGTGTCCAGCCCAGACACAGAAATGTTGTACAGGGGAGGGACTGTGTGTGTCCCGTCCAGCTCCCCGTGCTTGGGCTGCGGTCCTCTCAAGGGGTGCTTTTCCCAAAGGGCTTCAGGGTACTTTGGAGGCTGCTGACTTCACACCAGATTTCATGAGCGCTCGTGTTCCTTTTAACAGACATCAGGTACAGCGCAGCAGACGAGAATAAACCCAGGGCCGAAGCGGGTGAGTTCATCGGGAAGGACACGGACTTGCTGTGCTGTCAGGATGAAAGCCGTCGCTTCCTGTTGTTTCCCGTTCCCTGTTCCAGTTCCCGTTGCCTGTTTTGCATCCTGGCCCCCTTCCTCCCCCGGCTGGCAGGCACAGGACGGGGAGGGGGTCCTGCTACGGCCCCAGCCCTTCCACCTCACCAGAGCTGCTTTCTCCAGCGCTTGGCCTCGCCGGTCTTTTGGCCGATCCTGACAGATCTGGGCAAGGCAGATCCGTGCTCTCCTGGGAGAGATGGCAGTGCCGGGGAGGACGGGCCCCCGCCAGCCCCAGAGCGGTGCCCACGCACACTGGGGTGCCGAGGTGTCACTTCACCTTGTGGGAAAGCGTGCACAAAGAACACAGGGATTGTCTGGGGGAGGAAACTATTTTTGACTGGTTTTTAGGGAAAATACTGCCAGGATAGTGGATGTCTTTGTGCTCAGCCTGCCCCTTCACAGGGAAAGGTTTAGAATTTCTTTGAACAAGGGTGAAGTTCGAGCCAGCGGTGTTTTACAGCCTGTGCAGAAACAATGACACCTGGCAGCACGGAGGTGGAAGCCAGCTCTGTCCCTCTGCCTGGGCCCTGTTATCTCAGCCACTTCTGGAAAACCGGGAGCTTCTCGGCGCAAGAGGCTGGAGGAGCGGGCTGCCCTGCCTCCGCTCAGGGAGGGTTTCTGACAGCTCGTCTTGCTTTTTGCCAGGTTGGGAGGTTAGGGCAGAAGTGTCAAATGAATGTCAAGAAGAGCTGAGTTGCTTTTAAATCGTAGCCCATGGCTAGATCTTCCACAGCAGCATCTTGCGAGAGATGCTCGGCACCCCCACATCTCTCCTGGCAACAATGAGGGGGCAGCGGGATGAAGAGAGGAGAAATCAGCTGTGCCGGGGCTGGTAGCACTGAGCTGTGCTCAGTCTTGTGCAGAAACAGCGAGTGAGGCTGGTTATTTTTAGGGCTAGAGCTGTATCTGACCGTTGGTTGACCTTGCGGCTCTCCAGTCTGGTGCACATGAGCAGGACCTGAGCAAATTGTTCCCCACTTGGGCGTTGAATTAATTTGAAGCCTTAAGTCTTGTGGTTCAACTTTGCGATCAGTGGGGGAGACGATGTTATAGAGCTGCGCCAGGGCACCCGCAGGATCGTCGCAGCAGCCCAGATTCAGAACAATTTCTCAGATGCGCAAAGGGCCTCCTTTTTTTCTTTTTTTCTTTTTTTTTTGTTGTTTTGTTTTCTGGAGTGTGAAGGATGTTCCTTGGGATCGCCTGACTAAGCCCGTGGTTAGGTGCCGGGATGCACTGCCCTCTGCCACCGCGTTGCTTTCAGCCTTGCTGCCTCTGGATTTACGAAGAAGCAGACACCTTTGAGCACTGAGAAAACGCTCTGGTTGTTGAGAGTTTGAAGTCCTGCAAAAGGCATGAATTATCTTCACAGGCACACGCTCCTTGGGACAGAGGTGTCTTGATCTGGGGCTCCCAACCAATTCCCAGCGTGGGCTGTGAATGAGCCGCAGGCTGCGGCGGAGCAGGACCAGAGCCAGTGCAGAGCAGGGAGCTGCTGCTGGCGTGCGTGGTGCCTGCCAGCCCCACTGCTGCCTGGCGTGGTGCCTCTGTATATCAAATAGTGCCCCATTTATTTTTTTCAGTATTAAATCTGAATGGTGATGCTTTTCCCCCTTGGTATTTCTTATTTTGTGAATTCTGCCAGCAGACGATCCAGAGGGCAACGGGTGGTTTGGGCAGAATTCACTTGTTTTCAAGCCTCTGTGCTTTCTTCAGAGTCTAGACACCAGCATCATACCTGAACCTTCCCTAAGGCTCAACCAGCTGGACCCTGAGCAGTGAGTGAGGGGTGGTCAAACCTGGCTGAGCCCCTTGCCCCTGTTGAAGAATGGGTTGTTGCAGCGACCTTGCTTCTGGTAAGATGAGCAGGTTATGCCAAAGGAGCACAAAACCCCCCCAGAACAGCCCACCCAGGATGAGAGCCGCCGTGCCTGACTTGAGCAAGCGTGGCAAGGGCTGTAGCGTGGGCATACATCGAGCAGTGTTTTCCCCTTTCAGATCCTTGTTTATCGCTGGCCCTTGTGCGGAGAGCAGGCCCAGCTCTTAGGGAGCATTAATCAGGAGGGATGAGAACGTGCCCCCTTTTCTCCCAGTATTTTTCATCTTGACTCCGGGCCTCACACACGTGAGGTGTGTTGGTGTTAGTGGAAAGTCAGGGACCACAGGCACCATCTGCGTGTTGCAGCTTTAACATAAAAAATAATGCTATGGCATCAAGTAAGAGAAAAAAACCCCAACAACTTGGTATTTCAGTATTTAAAAGATACAAGCAAGGAATAGAAGCAATTAGAACTTGCTTCATCCCATTATCTGTTATTTTAAGAGTCTCTTCCTTGTGTCCCATTTTAACACACTTGCTGCTTTTTATTAGTCTCTGGGCTGTCCTTGGAACTTCGCTGTTCCCTTGTGGACACTCAAGTTCATCTCCTTGAAGTAAGGAAATAGGACGCTTTGAGGCAAAAATTCTGTGCCTGGAGCGATTCTTTTTTTGACCAAAAAAGAAAATAGGTGCTGTTGTTCCCAGAAGAAAGTCCTTTTGAGTGTGGGATTGTTCAAACCTACGTGTCTTCTGTTGAACCTGCCCCGGTAACGCAGGGCCGGCACCGACCTCTGCCAGCGTGGGGAGGAGCGTTAATAATAGATCTGTAAAACAGCGTCTTATCTACTCTCTGGCTGCTGTCATTGCCATGTGCCCCATGCTCTCAATTTAGGCACAGCCTAGTCTTGGGAACTGTGGAAATCATTAAAAGTCTTGGTTGGGGCTGGGGTGTGCTGGCACCTCAGGGTTTCCAGGGAGCTTTGGCAGCCTCAGGCCTCCACAGGGGCTTGTGCCGGGCCATGAGCCCGAGGATGCCCACAGGCCTTGCACTTCTTGGGCCTATAAATGGTGGATAAATGGGCA